TGTTGCTGGTGAGAGGAGTAAGTGGCACATGCTGCACACCCAGATCAAGACCTGTGTTTATAGCCACCCAGTTTCTGTGGGTGTAGTCATCAAAGGGAGGCTTTTGTAGCTGCCAGCGCTTACAGAAGCAAGCCCTACGTGAATGTGCCCTGCAATAAAGGGTAAGAAAGGGTTTATTTGCAGGGTTTTGAGAACTGCAACAGTTCTCCCTCAGTCTGTTCATGTGTATTTGCCATCTTTGGCCTGAGATTACTTTCCAAATGAGGTCTGCCATCTGGGTAGCCAGTAAATGGACAAGTACAGCCCTGGGAATGGTCAGAAGCTGCCCTTCACAAAATGCCTCTGTGCGTAAGCAGGTGATGGTGTGTGCATGCATTGTCTATTGAGCATCTTGCAAGGGGACCATGCAGGCAGGAAGCAGCAGGTAAGGCAGAGACAATGCTGTTGGCCTCATTACAACTGCTCTTGAATAAGGGATGGTTTTTGCATCTCAGTGTTCCTATCTCTGCAACAGAGTCTCTACATCACTATAAAGTCTGCTCCTGAACCTGAGGTTTAAACAAAGGAGTATGATGATAGTTATGTTGGAATTTGTTGTGGCTAGTCCTATGGTAAGAGGATATACTGTTAAAATCACATTAGATAGCCAGACAATGTATTATTCATGTATTTAAAAGGTGCTAATGATGCATGAGGTTCATGGCATCACTGTGGGTTGTTCTTTTTAACCAAGTGTGTAAATCATTGCAATTATAGCAGACCATTATTCTGTTAAAATTTTTGCCTGTCAAAAAACCCAAACCTAAATAACAGGAACATGTGGGGAAAATATTTTTTGGTGTTAAATTATCTAGCAATTTAAGATATGTTATTAAAATTAATAATAAATATTAATATAAAATATGAATTTGATATTATTAATAATGACATATCTAAATTTTAATAATTATAAACAATTATTATTGGTAATAAGAAATATTGCTATTTGTTTTCTAACCAGTTTTGAATTAGCTTCTTCTTGGAAACTATGGCAGGGAATGGATTATTTTCCTCCTTTGCCACCTGTGAGTGGTTCTCCTCACTACAGCCTTGTGATGCTGTTTTCCTGAGCTGTCCTTTTCCCACCTTTTATTGTTAGCATAGGATAATTAAACTGTGTAAGGCTGAACTCTGTTCTACAGGTTCACTTGGAGGTGTGTAATCAAAGCAACACTGTTCTGTTCAGGACTTAAACCAAATGTGTCTGTTTTCCAGAGACACAATAAAAATGCTGTAGCAGCAGAGCTCAAGCTCTGAGCTTTGACCACAGAACCGGCTGTGAGCTGAGCACAGATTTTACATTCTAAGCAATTCAAAACCAAATCATTAAAAATATATTTAAAAAGAAGACAGAGTTTCATGATGGCTCAGTCTTTTAATGTGGTCTGATGCATTAGAGCTTGACTAATGCTGGTCAAGCTCTGCTCTGCTGTAGATTGCATTTTGGCAGCTTCTGGAGCAGGACTTGTTGCTGAAGCATGGCTGGGTATCATCATTCATCAACATCATCTCAGTGCCAGAGATACTGATAGGGGACTAGCAAATATGATGTAGAACCTAAGAGGATCTTTCCATATCTGCAGTAGGTGACCCTAGAGGAGATTATGTATCCTGTCAAATGATGCAAGATGCTTATGTCAAGGTACCTGAATCCCAAGCTTAGTCTCTCACAGTGGGATTCAGATTGAGGCCATGGCACCTGCACTTTGGTGGCTTTGATGTGAGCTGTGGACCCTGGAGAGCAGCTCAGCTCATCCCAAAGTAGTCAGTTAAAGTACCCTTGGCTGCTTAGCCTGCATTAAATAGGTCATCATGGAAAAGGGATCTTTTGGCACCTGTCTTTGTCTTCCACCATTACTGATTCATGTTCCCACTGAGTTGGTGTGGGGATATATGTGTTACAGACTATGAGATGCTGGATGCTATGGGACTAGCAGTCAGGCAGCTCAGAGGCAGAGAGACAAGGCTGTGGCATGAACCTGCACTTCCATTATGCCAGGGAATAACAGGTAAATTTTCTTAAAATGACTGCACTAACTTGACAGTAACAGCATAAACTGTAAATATCCACCTCTTTTAGCCTCCATGAATTGCAGTCCAGTGCTGACGAGGGCTAAGATTGCTGCTCCATGGCATTGAGACGAAGAGCAGCATAGGAGTGAAGTCAGGCTTCTGCTCCAGTCTGCATCCATATACAGGGGTGAGCATCCAGCAGAGACCATGAAGAGTCCCCCTTGCTGCTTTCTCTGCAGAGCCAGCACTGCTGGGGCAAGAGTCTCTGCATCAGACACCCTATTGTCTCCTATGTTCCGGTTTCAGCACCTGAGGGCTTTAGAAGAATAATGGTTCCTCAGGGTCCAGACTTCGCTTTCAACACCTTTGTAAATGAAGTTGAATTAAGAAAATAAAGCCTGCTTATCTTCATTACTTTGCTTTAAACCTGCAAGTCACAAACAGATTTTTGTCTTGTGACTTGTGAAATAGAAGCAACTTATTATAAAAGCATGAAGACACAATGAACACGAGACTGGTTCTCAGAGTTGCTTTACAACACAGATTTTCACTATAGGGCCTTCTATATCTTGTGAAACTTGGCTCAAGAATACTGATGATGGTAATATTCTTGTTGGAGTTTGTCTGAGCTGAGATTGAGAATATCCTGCTGGGTCTCTGGGGGGATCATATGTCGGAAATATGGGCTCCTGTTATTTTACATTTTAGATCATGAACCTTATGTAGGAAGCACAAGGGAACAATTTGACAGAGGGACATTAGTCATATTCTGACATTCCCAATGAGCCAGCTGTCAGCATCAGGAAGAAGGATGTCCTGCTAGTTGGAGCAGAAAAGAACCTGCCACTTTGTAAAGGAAAACCCTACGTCAAACTCCAGGTGTGAACAAGCACAACGGAACAGTGCCCAACATCACAAAACCCTCTCTCTGACCACAGCTTTGGCTCTGTGTGGCATGCTGTCTGAAGGAGAGAAGCCTGTTTTAACAGAAGGCAGCACACACAGCAAATCAGTTTGTTTCACAGGACATATGTATTCGACAATGTGTTCTTAGAAACACATTTTTCCCATTAGTAATGTTGGGGATGGTTTTTGTCCAAGTCTGAACTGACTTTTCAGTGCAATAACTTTTCAGCATTTTCTTGGTGGAGTTGAGTTTAACTTTGAGTCTTATTTTTATGGCTAATTGTGAGGTCTGTCATTTCTGATAAGAAAATTTCCCCTGCATGTGAAAATCTCACTTTTCCCTGTCTGCTGTAGTCACCTCTAATGTACACATATTTCCAAGTTATTGTACCAACTGTTACTTAAAAACAGCTATTAGACTTCCTTGAGCTCTGCTGAATCATTTTTGTATAACAAGTCCACCCTTTTTTGACACAGCTAGCAGAGCCTTCAGACCCCATTGACGTTAATGATGACCCTAAACAACAGAAGTAACCATTTTCAGTGCTCCCAGGATCTACTCAAGACATTACATACTCAGCTGTGGTAACACCAGCTTGTATTGATAACGAGTTTGTACTGGGAAACCCAGCAGGCCCTTCTCCAGGCATCCCAGGAGCCAAAGCAGCCTCACAACTCTGCTGGTTACTAAGGCAAGTGACACAGTTTTCTCTTACTGAATATGAATCTGGAGGAAGTTCAGGGCTTGGTTTTAGTAGGGTTATAGTATTTGCACTTTGAATCCAAGTCAAGAGGTAACAGCTTGTATGTAATAGCCCTGAAAAACTGTATTTCAGGGTGAAAACTAAAAACCAGCAGAGCCTGAAGTGTAAGTTCAGAGGGTTGAGCAATGATACCAAAATCCTCTTTTCAGTGTTGTCTGGATAGAGAGCTTCCAGTGCTAACCACCCATCTTTGCAGCCATTTGTCAGAGTAGCAAAGCAAAGCTCACATACTCTCCTTTTACAAGACTTGGCTTTGTAGACCTGCTTAGACCATGCGTCTAACACATTGTTTTCTACCTTTAATAGTATGTGGGATGTTATGGAGACCTCTCTGCTTCAAAAGCATTTGAAATGGTTATCCTAAGCATTTTTTAGCTGAAATCCTTAAGGACTGCAGAATGAAGGAAAGAGGTAGTCTTTCTCAGCCTGAGGCTTCAAACTCACCATTTTCTCCTTCCAGGAAAATGCTCTACATCATTGCATGGGATGGCTTGGGATGCACCTGGCATTTTACATCTCCTATAAAAGCTATGCCAGGAAGGAGTAAAAATTAGCCCTTAAATATGCCAGAGCAAGTGCAGCACAAGAAAGATGGTATCTCTGTGATGCAGGGGGTCATACAGTCATCAGGATGGAGGAAAACTTCCACATTTCAAAACTGATTCTTTCATGTGTTTTCTGAATGTTAAAAGGCACAAACTGACCTGAGGACAGGATGTGTTAATGGTTCCCAGCTCCCAGGCCACCAGCTGTGATTCTGTTTTCTTCTCATCCCATTTACCACCTGCTTTATCTTGTCCTATTTACCATGTGCTTTATCTACCCAGCCTTCCTCTTCCCTTGCAATCCCTTGGGACTGACCAATGTGAATTCCTAGACAATGGCACCCTTGATGAGTGGAGAGAGCTACCCACAAACAAAGATCTAAACTGATCTGCTGAAAATCAGCCAAAACACTGCTGTTCCACTATCTGAACGCTGACAGATCCTTGCCATTAGCTCCCTGGCTGCAACCACAAGAGGCAACGTCATAGCTTGGGAGCTGGGCTTTGTGTACACTGCAGAGCTGGAAGGGAAACACCTGATCAAGTGAGGATGCCAAGTGTTTGTTCAGTAGGGTGTATCTGAACCACCCAAATACTCTGCATGTGTGTTGATAATGTGCCTGGTAGAGAGGAAAGCTGACAGAGGGCTTTTATCCACCAAATGTCTCAGATGTTGCCCAAGGAACGTACAACAAATCATCTCAGTTCAACCAGCCATGGTTCTGGTAGGGCAATGGATGCAGGCACCTCTTTGGGATGTGCCTCTAGTAGCCCCAATCCATTCTGGAGGTACCTTACAGCGCATGATCTGAAACATGAAGGGAAGAAGAAACTCAAGATCTCAGGCAGAGAGCTGGTGTCGGTTCCTAAGCAGGTCTCTGGCTTGGACAAGCTGCAGGTTCTGGAGATGAGCCCGGGACATGAGAGCTGTCTGAGGCACCAGATGGACCTGCTGCCCCATGACATCAGCCACCTGCAGCACCTCACCTGCCTCTACATGGACTCCAACAACCTGAAGACAATCCCTGCTGAGACTGGCCCTTTGAGCCACTTGCAGAGGCTCACTCTGAGCAACAACAGCCTGAACTCTCTGTCCCCAGAGATGGGGCCACTCCAAAGGCTGTGCAGCTTCCACCTTCCCAACAACAGCCTCACCAAACTGCCTGCATCACTCAGCCAGCTCAGGAGCCTCATCCTTCTGGATGTGAGTGACAACAGGATAGGCACAATTCCCTTCAGCATTCAGCATCTGGAGAATCTGGAATCATTGCTGTTGCTCTTCAACTCACTGGAGAGTCTGCCCAAAGACATCTGTCTTCTAAGGAACCTGTGCACACTTTGGTTGGGAAACAACCATGCATGTTCCCCTTCAGCATCTTTTGGAGAGCTGATGAACCTTCACTGGGGATGCCACTGCTATTCATGCAATTTTGAGGGGAGTCCACTGGAATGTCATCTCCCTGAAGTCTGCAGCAGAGGCTCTGAAAAGATCAGAGGCTATTTCTTGTCATTTTGTACGATTTGTTGAAACTAGGCAACTGGTGTCAGTCCCTTAGGAGTGACTGAGATGGATTTATTCTGTGTAAATCAACTGTATAAGCAAAATGTGTTTCAGGAAAAGTCTGATGGAACCTGTGGAGCTCAAAAGCTTCGTCTCTGCTCTAAGGTGATTTTTCTGGCAGTCTTTTTTTTTGGGGCACTATTATTGAACAGTGGCATATACCCTTCAAAAATTCATTCAGGGACAGCTATAACCTTTTGTTATTTATAGCCGCATAGACCTATCTCATGAAAGGTTGCAGCCAAATATCCAATCTGATAAAATGAACAACAGTTTGTCTGGGAGGATAAAGTCAGGTAAAGAACTGGTGGTGTGTAAATAGCACAATTTTTACTGTTTATTTTCACCCTGCTGAGATATAAAGAAACGTTTAAGGCCATACTGACTTGTGGATCTGGCTCTGCTTCAAGTAGCTCAGAAACTCATTACTTTACATGGTATTTTACATCCAACACACAGGTTGAATCAACTCAGGCATCTGTCTGGCTTTGGATAAGAACCAACCTGTGTTCAGGTCCCACAAGGTACCATGCAAGCGATCCCTCTATTGATTTCACAGGACATAGCATATTTCTTACCCTGCTTCTCCTGAATAACAGTTACAGGGCAGAATTGTCACGCTGCTTGGAAGCAGCATGGACCTGGAGTTGATGTGGCAGTCCTTCCAGAGCAGATCTCAGTGATGTTGCTCAATGGAGCTTGGTGATGTAGGGTGTAGCCCAGGTTTAGAGCATTCAGCACTAGCAAAAACAGTTTCCAGTTCTACTGAGACTGGGAAAATGTTCAGAGACATTAAAATATGAGTATGTTAACTTCCTGCAAGGGAACATTTCTGAGAATCCCTGCCTATAATCATAAAAGGCTTCATCAGTGTTTTATTATGAAAATCTGCTGAGACTCCTTTCTGTTTCATTTTGCTCTCTCCTCGCCTCTCTCATCAGCGTTTTCCTCCCACTGCTGCTTAGCTTTGCTCTTGGTGGGTGTTTTCTCTGTGGCTACTCCCTCTGACATTATCTTTGCTTTTCATTATTTTCTTATCACCAGCCTCTCATTCCCTTGTCAATGCTTTTCTTGCCCTCTCTCCTTTGTTTCTTATTTCTCCTTTGGCCAACATACAGAAAGCTGCAGCTCTATGTCTTTCCTGGAAAGAAAGGCTGAGTCAGGCCTGCTGGGAGCTGAACATGTTCATCCAGAGTTCACAAAGAGAGAAAGAGCTTAAGACATTGATACACGGACCGTTAAGTCTCTCATTCAGTCATTTTCTTCCCCCCATAGCAAAGATTGGCACAAGGAGAATAAGATCTGAATCAGTGCAGAAACTTTACTTGGTGACAAAAGCACAAATCCAGATATTCATAGCCTGAAGCGATTTCTGCACTGCTCTGTCCCTGATGTCTGTGAAGCTTTCAAACCTGCTGTCACTTTTTGGTGGTACCAGATTCAGTACAGAAGTTTCTCACACAGTGATAAATCAGTGCATGTCAATAACAGGCATACAATAACCGAACACCAGTTTGTTTCCTGCAGCTGGTTATTTCTAAGATGTGACATAGGAAAGAAAGGAGTAAAGGGACTGTGGTGTCTTGCTCACTTGGCTCTTTCTGTGGCAGCATGGACAGTCAGAGATGAAGGAGCAGGACAACGAACTGCCAATCTTTTACTCTTGGTTGTTTTTCAGAGGAGATTTGCAGCATAAGGTGTGGTGTGTGAAACTGGTGCTAGGTCAGACAGGGATATATCAAGGTGGCAACACTAAGGATGATGAAGTACTGGGGGTTTGTTCTTGGTTTTGCTATTGATTCATTCTTAGGACTCAAACTAGTCTGTTGTCTTATTTTGCTATTCCTCCCACCCCATCAATATGTGCAATAATCTTGCTTTCTAAAGCTTGTTTGGTTTAGAAGATGAGTATAAAGGCAGTACCAGCACTGGGCCATGAGCAAAAACAAGGTTATTCCCCTGTTTTGGGACACATGTGGGAATGAAATTCTAGTAACTGTGGTCTTTTTTAGAGGCTTGTGCCTAATACACTGAATCCTTCCAGGCATCGTCTTACACAAGTGGTACACAGTTTCTTATGTCCCATGTCAAACTCTTCTCATCCTATCTTTGGATCCTACATTGCAGAAAAAAACAGTTCATTTGGCTTGAGAACCCATTCCAAATTTTGACTATCTTTCCTTTCTGCTTCTCGGCTGGTGATTCCCATAGGGCAAGCTGACTTTAGCTTGTCTGGGGGGTTCATAACATCTCACAGCGTTTACCCTTTGTTTTGGCCGATCAGGTTTTCCACACTTAGTTTAACTAGTCCTCTCTCAAAAACCACAACCATAATATCTGAAGTCTGTTTGGATCTGTTAATAACATACCTGTCATGCCTGGGAGTGAATGGAGCTAAAAAGGGGGTTAAAGCCTACAAGAAAATGTAATCTTCAGTAAACAGTGCAAATACATTTACTGTAATTCTCCGGGCTTTGCAATCAAGAGATACTCTGAGAAATTAATGCAAGTGAGGGCACTTTGGCCTTACATCAAGCTGCTTGAGCAGACTGAATATGTTATTCAGCTAGAAATTCTGTCCTGACACCATGTTGTCTGTCACCTCTTCCGTAGTCCTGATTGCTTCCAAAATCCCACTTCCTAAAGTAGAAATCCCAATAGTGCATATGAGCTGCTGTATTCTGGATCTGTGTTAGCAGCATAGTTATGCAGAGCAATAACTAGATCTTAGTGTTGTCATTGCTGTGGCATTAAAATCTAATCTCAAACTGCTTATCCTGTATTTGTGGCACAGTCTGTATTGTTGCTAAGCACCCTTTTTCCTTTGCTTATTAAAACTTCAAGCAGTAATATCAAAGAATGGCAAACTGTTAGAATATAGGCCCTTGGTGAAAAGGCCTAGATATAATCCATACCCAGGGGTGAGGGGGAGGAAGGAGAGGGGGGAACTGTTAAAGCTGACATTCGGCACTGATAGAAGTTGTGCACGCATCTTCCTTCACCCCATACTGCAGACAGACTGGTATAGGAAGAGAGCATTGTCCCCTGGAATTGCATAAGACTGCTTTGAACTCTTGAAGCAGAGCAGTAATGAAATGCAAAAGCAGTGAGTGAAAAAAGCTCCAAACAGGAATTTGGGAGAATAATATACATAAGGGCAGAGGGCTCTTTAATTTAACATACAAATATGTAAGCTCAAGCCAGACAAGTTCTGACTACAGATAAGCTGCATACTTATAATGCTGGAGAGTTCACCTGAGGATACGGCAGATTCTCTACACCTGAAGTCTGCAAAACCCACAGTCTAGCTCACCCGAAGGTGTGACTCTAACACTCCACCTTGTTTTATGCAAAGTGAAAGCAACAAAGGCTCCTTCTGTTTTTAAAGTATTTGGCTGCAATCTATGGCTACCATAAACCTAAAAGATTAGATCCCAGCATTTACTTACTTTTCCTTTAATTTGCCTCTGGCTGGACCTCAGCCTCTCTGTCTGCCTCTGTGCTCTGTGCCTCATCTCAGAACTCAACAGTTTGACTTCAGAAATTACAATTTCTGGTGATGCAACACTGAGTGGGTGCAAGAAGCTCATCAATTGGTTTAATTATCATCGATCACATACGATCAGTCATTGTCAGAGGCACCAGGTTCAACGGAACATGTTTCCCTAGACTTGGACAGTGGGTACTAGAGGAGAAACAAAGCAATCTATCACAAGCAACTGCCATATCATTGACCACATCAACTTGCAACAAAAGCCTAAGTAGCATGTTTAATGAAGATCACTCTAAGCAATACAAAGAAAGGTTTTTCACTTGTCAGAGTGTTCTGCCCATGAGCCAAGAGTCAGATATTAAATGGACTTAAATAAATACTCCGTCCATGCCATAGATATCTTACATTTGTTAAAGATCTCAGCTTTTTCTTTTTCTGTAGGGAAGCTACAGAACGTGTTGCCATTCTCACTGCCATGCAAACAAAATCTTCTTGAACAGTTCAGGCAGCAAGAAAACAGCAAGAGGGGGAAGGACTGATGCCATGACAAAGGCTGAGGTGGAAAAGCCCACACAGAGTCTCTGTACTGAAACTCACTGGGTTTTGTCAGATTTAAGTGTCTGACAGAGGCAGTCTGAGGCTCACTGCTGCTGAGGCTCCCAAAGTGATCCCACATCCAGTCATTTGGTGCATGAACTTTACAAGGAGTTGCACTCAGTAGTGACTTTCACATCCAAGGTATTGGTTCAGATGGGGTCAGATCATTAGCACAGTTATGTCTAAAGATAAATCTCTCTAGTACTTTACAAGTCTCACTGTTGAAAAGTTCAAACTGAAAGTTCTTCCTGCAATGCAAACTTTTTTGTTTCATTGGTTTATTCCACAGAGACTTAGAAAGCAGATCATTTTTTTCCTGATATATAAAAAGGCAGATATATTTGCAGCAAGCCTTTTATAAGTTTGGATTGGGAAGTTTAGATTGGATATAAGGAAGAAGTTCTTTACTGTAAGGGTGGTGAGGCACTTTAATGGGTTGCCTAGGGAAGCTGTGAGTGCTCCATCCCTGGCAGTGTTCAAGGCCAAAGTGAGCCTTGGGTGACATGGTTTACTGTGAGGTGTCCCTGCCCATGGCAGGGGGTTTGAAACTGGATGATCTTAAGATCCTTTCCAACCCTAACTATTTTATGATTCTATATACATGAAGCGTGTTGAAGAGCTTTTTACAAGAATCATAGAATAGAATCATTAAAGTTGAACAAAGACCAAGCCCATCAGCGTCTCTACCCTGGCCATGTTTATCTCTGATAGAGTTTTTCTCTGGACTATTGCTACACATCTTTACTGAGCAGTCACATTCAAAATGAATGCAGTATGGCATCTGAAGTTTTCCTAGTGACAAAGGAAGGACTACTGCACATCTTGAGAATTGTGACACTGCTGACTCTTGTATGGTGGTGATTTCTCTTTTTTCACA